GAGCATAGAAAAATTTTAAAAGCTCATTTAAAATCTCGAGTATGCTTAAATATCAATTTGTGTATTCAGTATGCTCAACAGAATATGTCTGGTGCTCATTAAAAGTTCATTATTACTCATTCTCCAGAAGTCGTGATTTTCATCTCAATAGTAGAGGTTGGATGCTCAATTAAAATGTCATGATGTTCAACTAACAAACATTACGATTTTCATATCAATGTGCACTTTGTAAGTTATGTATGTTCATTTGGTACTCATGTTATGCTCATTTTTACAATTTCATATCAATGAGATGAAAAAATCACAGTTTCTATCCTAGTTAGCTTTTTTCCGTTTAAAACGCGTTTAAAACACGTACCGTTTTTTGAACAAAAAAACGCGTTTAAAACGAAAAATAATGTCGGTCCGTTTAAAAAGGAAAAAAACTTCTACTTCCCGTATAAAACGTATATTTTCCGTATTTTATAAAAAAAAACGAAACATGATTTGGTCAATTGAATGAATACATCAAATGAACAAGAGATCAACATTAGCTTAAAAGCAAAAAAAGAAAACACCATCCCCATGACCCCGTGTTTTTGTATTGTTACATTACAAAATATATAATTGTTAAATATTAAAATTAATTGCATTATATCTAAAGCTATCATCTTAAAAGACTAAAACCTAAAATACTACTACATATTAGATATGTGATGTTCTTTTCCAAACAAGCATATCAAAATTAAGGTTTTTCTAAACCTGACATTTTTAGTGTAAACTTTTACACATAAATAAATAATAATGATAAGCGTATCAGTCGCACAACTTTTTCATATGTCATCCGTCATCTAGGTGAAAATGACAAGTTTAACTTGAGTGTTATATGATGATCATATAAAGATGATGATGATGTTAACTTGGTCTCATTCTATCGTTAGTATGCCTTATTTTTTGACATTACTTTGCAAAATTATGTCTTGGACTTGATTGCTATTTTTACTTTTGTCATCGACTTATACAATTACAAATTATTCTTTTATGCAGTAATGTGATTTACTACTTCGATATGTGTACACTCTTATTTCTTTTTATTATATGTTATTTTATGAAGTTTATATAATTTCATGTTATTTTAGACTTAACTACTACGGAGTATTTCTTTTTGTCATGAACTTATGCTATTATGATTTATGAATGTTTTTTTTTATGGAGTGAAGAGGTATTCTATTTGAATGTGTGTGTACTATATGTTTTTTATGCTATAAAAATTAGTACAATAATTTAAGCACTCAAAATAAGACCCGTATTTTTAACCCGAATTTTTCTAAGAAATGCCGTATTATACACGTATACGTATTTACACGTTTTTAAAAAGTCAACGTATTTTTTGCCGAATTTTTGACCGTATTTTTTGTTCAAGTTACCGAATAAAACACGTACGTATTAAACCACGTTTAATTCCCGTACCGTATTTAACTAACTAGGGTTTCTATTGAGATGAAAATCACAGTTTCTGTTAAATGAGCATTAATGAACTTTTAATGTTCATCAGACCTATTATGAGCATTAAAACACTTTTGATGAGCATCAGGCTTATTAGGAACCTAACACTATATTAAAAAAAAGTATAAATATATTTATATAAAGTAATAATATGATTCATAGATCAAATAAATACTTCAAAAATATGAATTAGTCTTTTAATATACTCCGTAGTAATAATGAGCAAAAACAAAAGAATAGTTAATATTATAGTTACTATTAATAATAGGCAGTATGAAACTATATAGGATAAGTAAGATAAAAGAACAAATTATCTCAACAAGACAAGTTAGTGAGATGGTTGGAAGGCCACATATCCTACTGCGGGTCTGGGGATCAAATTCCGTTGGGGATTTTAATTTTTTTCGCTGGAACAAGATGTAAGCCCACCAGTCAAATTTAATAAGTGGGCCGGATGTACGTACACCCGGGTGTACTATATAGGGACTCGTAGGGATGAAGGAGATTGACTATGGACACTAATTAATCGGGTTGGGTTACTATATTCGCTCCTGCCCAACCATTCTTCGATGCCAAGCCCGGCCATAGTTTGCTTTATTAAAATTGAATATATATAGACTTCCAGATAAGAAAAATATAAAAATCATTTCGATGGGAAATAGACTGATCAAATTTTACATTTTTTTTACATACTACGTAGTATATAAAAATGTAAAACTGTAAAAGAGATGGTTTAGACTTCAGAGCTAAAGTCTGGAATTAGTGTTATCCTTGACAAGTAAAAATTTAAATATGTGTTGAATAGGAAAGAGCTAAAGTGTGCAATTACTGTAGTCCTTCACAACTTTCTTAACATAGTAATTTCTTGCTGAGTAACATTTTTTTTTTCATTTTTTCCTATTTGTTTATTATCAAATATAGAACTATTAAACATGTATGTACAAACTTATTTCACCGTCAAAGAATCGTAATTCTCATGTGGTTTGTACAGTGATTAATATAGGGAGAGCTGACTTTTGGATTGCTTATCTTAGACTATTAGCAATCCATTACCATGTAACTACATGCTTATTTTAGAATGATTTGATTACGATAGATTTCTTTCATCACGAGTTATTTCTTCTTTTGTATTCTACAATTAGTTTGTAATAAGTTTATACATATATGTAAGGATTTATTATGATTTGACTTTTCTACGTGTTAACATGCTAAATGCTAAAGAAATCGTATCAAATACATACGGAGTATATGATAGTACATCATACGGAGTACATAATTTGCAACACAATTTATTGGGCACTCACATTTTCGCGCAACGCGCATGTGTAAAACTAGTCTACTTATAAGCAATAAGTGACTTAAGATTCATGAAACTATGAAAGTATTAATTTGTTATTTAGTTATAAGAGTTAATATAATTACTTTCATTTTGAAACCACATCAACATATTTTGACAATAACGTACGTTTAAGTGATTATTATATTAAAATAACGTACGTTTAAGTGATTATTATATTAATGTCATAATGGACATGACAATACTTCCGAGCAAGATTATAAGCAATCTCATTCGAAGGGAAATACATTATTCATATTTTGAAAATATTCACATTTTTAAAATAATTTTTAAAAATGTGACACTTTTTAAAATACTTGTAAAATATTTTTTTAATTTATATTCTTGAAATATACACTATTTTATTTTCAGTCAATCTCTAACTTTGGGATCACTTTATTTAGGGAAATAATTAATGTTGATTGCACAATATTACTAGAAACTTTTAATTTTTATTCTTATATGTTTTTTTAGTCTAATATGAGAGTTAAAACAATCTAAAATTAATTATTTACTATTTAAAATACTATTTAAACAGATGTCATGATCGGTGACGAAATAAAATCAACACCGATATAAATTATAGAGATGAAAAAATTATAAAGACTTAAAGTAGTCCCTCCGTCCCTGAAACATATTAAGTTTCTCTTTCCTTATTTGCCAAATTATATACATCAAAATAGTGCAGAATAGTGTCAAACAGTGTCCGAAAGGTGTTAAAACAGTAAAATTTACCCTCGGTAAATTTATTTCCTTAATATGTGTGCAAAGCAAAGAGGAACTTCTTTTGGAGACGGATGGAGTATATCTAAACCTTTCTATGAGTACTACCAAAAGGAGGTAAGGGTCGGATTGGTACTCGAAGTTGCATAAAAAGGGTCAAATAAGTCCTTATGTAGGAGGCTATGTCCGGCTGTCGCCATTTTGGGACGGTTTCCGGTGGGATTTTTGACAAAAATTTTTTAGCATCTTATTCATCAAGTCTAGTTTACTCATACCAAATTTCAGCTAATAATTCAACTGGGGAGGCATTCAAATGAATTCTTGAAGATAACTGCGTAGTTAAAAGCACATTTATATTCAAGAATTCATTTGAATGTCTTCCCGATTGAAGTTTTAGATGAAATTTGGTATAAGTAAACTAGACTTAATGAATAAGATGTTCAAAAAATTTCATCAAAAAATTCCACCGGGAACCGCCTCAAATGGCGATGGCCGGACAGTAAGGACTTATTTGACCCTTTTTATGCAACTTCAAGTATCAATCTGACCTTTACCTCCTATCAAAAGTATTCGGAAAATCTTATAGATCAATTATCATATGCCTTTACATTTACGGGGCCAAAATTGGAAAATAGTATTATGAGAACAATAGTCAAGATTATTAACTAAGGGTAAAATAAATAATATACCCGAACTTTGTCTTGGTGTGAGCTCCCCACCCCGAACTTGTCCTAGTTTAAAAAATACCACCAACTTTATTTATTCAAATTTTTTGTACCATATATTAATTAACAAATAATATTTCTCAAATTATAATATGTTAATTAGATTTAGTCAGCAAAAAAGATGTGTGATTCCCATTCTTCTTAAATAAATACTCCATACGTATACATTAATTTCAACTAAATTCAAGTACTTAATGAGACGACTATTGCCTTTATTTTTTGGTGAATATTATACATATTTTTTCTTTAGGATTGGAGACAATGAAACGAGGCATGGGGCATATCAGGAGGATGTAGAAATATTTTTTGAATAAATTAGATATTTTGAAGTTATTTAATCAATTCTAAAAGCACACATTAATTTGGGAATCACAAATCTTTTTTTGCCTACTAAATCTAATTAACATATTATAATTTGAGAAATATTATTTATTAATTAAAATATGGTACAAAAATTTAAATAAATAAAGTTGGGGATATTTTTAAACTAGGACAAGTTTGGGGTGGGAGCTCACACCAAGACAAAGTTCGGGGTATATTATTTATTTTTCTATTAACTAATTAAAGTTAATTAAAAGTGAATAAAGTATGGATTTTTTTCTTTTTGGCAAAAAATAAAGTACCGTACGGAGTTTTTCTTTTTGGCAAAATAAAGTATGGAGTTGTTCTTTTTTGCAAAATAAAGTATGGAGTTTCAAAATCAGGCCTGGTAAACCATTCTTTATGGAGTAGTTTAAAACTCCCGTTGCTTCTTCCGTCATCACTCCCACGCTACCAAATCACTCCGTACCATACTTTCCTTCCTCTTCAGCTCTTCTCTAATCTCTCCCAAATCCCGGACCCTCTTCACAATTCTCACGGCGATAGAAATCTGGTTAGATATTGATCAATCAGTGTTTTCAACGCCATATCATGTTTAACGGCGAAAATCAAGCGACAAAAGCAGATACTGTGTGAAGTCAAGATTCCGTTTTTCTCTTTACTCCCTTAACTAATTTCTTTCTTTTTTTCATAAAGCCCTTTTCTATGTCACACCCACACTCGCACATTTATTGAGCTGAGTGTGTTTGTATGTGTGTTACCGCCCCTTGTTTCAGCTCAATTCTCACGGATGCTTCTGTTTTCTGTCTCCTTGGCAAGTGAATCAGCCGCATAGTCTTCAATATTGGGCTTTTCTTCGGCAATCTTATAGTTGTCTGGATTTTGTGTGATCTGGGGTGGGAGCTTTCTTGAGAAAAGGTCAATGCTTGATCCAATCCTGAGTAATGTTTCATGAGTTGTGATAAGCTTTCAGATCCTATTCTTTTCTAACTATGTTATTTCTCTATAACCCAGACTTATAAATCAAATCTCTATGGTAGTTTTGTAGTTTGTAGAAATTTGTTCTTTCTTCTGCTGAAATTTGAAATCTGGGATTTGGAACTATTACCCTATAAAAAAGAAGAATTGCTGAGAAGTCGGAGTTGATTGAGGGGAAGTAGAGATGCAGTCAAGGGGACTATTGGAAGAGGGGAAAGACCCTTCTGCTAGAGTATCAAATCAACATAAGCCTCTACCACTAAGATTACTTCAGTTTCTTCTTTTGTTTTTGGGAATCTGTGTTGGGTTTTCAATTCTTAGTATGTACATGGTTCGTTTTTTTGGAGTCCAGACAGCTGTTCCTATGTTACAATCCGGATATGAGTCATGTTATGAAGAAATAAGTAGTTTGGGGAGTTGGGTTAGGCCTCCTTCAAGTATTTTGCATACTTTAAATGACACTGAGCTATTATGGCGGGCTTCTTTCGTTCCTCAAGTGAAAGCATATCCTTTTAAGAGAAAACCCAAGATTGCATTCATGTTCTTGACTAGAGGACCTCTTCCTTTGGCCCCATTGTGGGAGAAGTTTTTTAAGGGGAATGAGAGGCTCTATTCGATCTACGTTCATTCTATGCCATCTTATATGCCCAATTTCAACACGTCGTCTGTGTTTTACCTTCGACAAATACCTAGCCAGGTAATTTTTCATTTTATGGTGCATTCTTTTGTATACTGAGGTGGAAAAATGTCATGAAAGATACTCCTACAGTGCAACTAAGTTCTGAATCTTGCCTTTCTAGAACCTTTTAATCTTTTATATTGTTTTAGATGCATTAATTGTACGCAAAACATAAGTAACGGAGTATATCATTTAAAACTATGATGGAATTGGAGCTATGGTGGGTTGGATTGAATTTTTCCAGGAAGCCATTTTAAATCATAGCACACTTTAATCTCCATTCCAACTATGGCTTGACCATGACCATCACCCTTATCCTTTTCTCAACATGATGTGCTGGCATTTTATTTATCTTCTTTTAAAGTTTATAATGCACTGGATTCCATTTATCTAGTTGTGACATTTGTTATGAATATGTGATTCTGCGTTTTTGCATTGAGATGGAGGATTGAGTTGTTGGTGTGTCATTCTTCTTTTAAGTAGTTAAGATGTTGATCTGGTAGACTTTGTACTTGTTTTTGTTACACTTACTGACCTCATTGCATATAATTTTAGCCACGTTTGCTCATATGCTATGGTTTGTCAACAATTCAACACACTGAACTCACTTGCTCCTTGCATACTCTTTTTGTTCATCTTTTATTTTAAATTTTCCTATTTCGTCTCTCTCATGCTTTTAAGGAAAAGATACAATTGTTTTCTTCTCTTAAATAAATACTCCCTCCCTACCCCTTCTAAAATTCCACTTTCTTTTTTTAGTTTGTCCCTCAGTTATGTTCATTCCCCATTTCATGTTTCACTAACTTTCTAATTTTTTCAACTTTTCCTTTATTGGTTTGGCATTATAAGTTTATAACCTATTTACACAAATTTTCACGTGTTACTTTATTTTTTATGGTAAACTAGGAAATCAACCAAGTATCATTCGTTTTTCTTAATATCAGCGCGGAAAGCAATTGAGACCTATAAAATGGGACAACATGGATATCGAAAAGCATAAGTTTAGTCACATGGTCCCTTTTATGCCTATTTGCTGGTAACTCTTTTAATTTATTGATGGATGAGACCATACAGATGAAGTTATTAGCACTGTGAGTACTGAATTTCTCTGGCATTCGAACTCGCATGTTATTTGTTTCATGCCTTTGCTTTTTTGGTCTATTATACTTTCATATTTCTGAATTATAAATGTTTGGTACGTTTTTTCCCCTCATACTCCCTCACTCCTTTATTAGGTGTCACTATAGGTATTTTGCGGTTTTTAAGGAGCATATAACAAGTAGAATAGGGAAAAAAAATTACCCAATGACACCTTATACTAAACCATAGCTGTTGCAAAAATATGAATGCAGGTGGCAGAGTGGGGAAAGATGAGCATGTGTGATGCCGAAAGGAGACTTCTTGCGAACGCTCTACTTGACATATCAAATGAATGGTTTGTCCTCCTTTCAGAGGCATGCATTCCTCTTCACAACTTCAGCATTGTTTACCACTATATATCAAGATCCAGGCACAGCTTCATTGGTGTAGTCGATGACCAAAGCCCTTATGGAATAGGGCGTTACGATGCTAATATGGCACCCACAGTTAACATAACCGATTGGCGCAAAGGGTCCCAGTGGTTTGAAGTCAACAGAAAGTTAGCTGTTGACATTATCAAAGACGACATTTACTACCCCAAGTTTGAGAAGTTTTGCAGGCCGGCTTGTTATGTGGATGAACACTACTTCCCAACCATGCTCAGCATGGAGTCTCCGGGCCTCCTGGCAAACCGGAGCCTTACGTGGGTCGATTGGTCCAGAGGTGGCCCCCACCCTGCTTCCTTCGGCAAGGATGACATTACAGATCAGTTTTTTAAGAAGATGCTCGAGAAGACGTGCATCTACAATAGCCAGCCAACCCATCTTTGTTTCCTTTTCGCAAGAAAATTTTCTCCTAGTGCTTTGAACCCTTTGTTAGAACAGTCATCCAAATTCTTGGGCTTCTGAAAAGCCCAAGAATTTATATATACCTTGCTGTGTATGAAGAATGAACTTATATACCATTCTTCTTAGAAGACTAGAGTGATTATGATGCATCAGCTTGTTAAATGACTGTTATAACCTCATCTCTTACAGCAGAAGTGTACACGTCCACAGTCCACTCATGTAAGGATAAAAGATTTACTCACAATTCCACAGAAATGGTGTACATTGTACTGTAACCCGTGAGGGCATTCTAGCATTTACACAAAGCTAGAATAAAGCACGGATGTGAAGCATATACACAAGTCAAATCGAGCTTATTACTATGATATTCAATCATGAGCACACTATCTTGGGGTTTCAATATTGCATATAAAAAATTGTAAAGAAAATCAGGGCCTGTTTACTAATAGAGATATTTTCCAGTTTTCCAGAAAATTGGAAAACTGGAAAACAGAAATCAGGAAACGTGTTTACCAAAGAAATTCCTGGAAAACTGGAGAAAGAAAAAAAAAAGAAAAACGCATTTACCAAATCGTTTTCCAAAACGGAAAAAATGAGACATGTCTCTCTTTTCCTTAATGATTTAGAGAAATGACTTTTATTAGTTTTCCAAATTTGGAAAACGCAGATGCTACAGTGCCGCTGCAATGAATTTGCATAATTACACTTAGTGGTGGGTCCGGTCCCGCTCCGATGTCGATTCCATTCCGGTATCTCCATCCTCGTACCTTACCCCTTACCCCTACCCTACCCTACCTTACCCACCCAACCCAACCCCGCATACCCATTTTTCCGTATAATGACCCTACCCCACCCTGATCCACCCTACCCTACCGCCACCTCCTACCACCTCGACCCCACCCCGACCTACCCTACCCTACCCCCACCCGTATATTACCCCTTACCCCTTACCACATGCCCCTACCTCGGCCCCACCCCACCGCCATCCTACCCCACCCTTCTGCCATCCGACCACCATCCTACCCCCCACCCTACCCTTCCCCTACCTTGGCCCCACCCAGATCCTGGGCCCACCCTATAGCCATCATATCCCACTACACCTACCTTACCCCAACCCCAACCCTACCCACTACCCCCACCCTTACTGCCATCCTACACCCCACCCCCTACCCCTTCCCTACCTCAGCCCCACCCTGGTCCCGGCTCCACCCTACCGCCATCTTATCCCAACTCCATACCATACCTCTACCTTACCCCAAACCCTACCCACTACCCCACCCTTACCCCTAACCACGACCCTAACCCATCAACTACCCCCACCCTACCCCTACCCTAGACCTTATCACCCCACCGCGACCATACCCCTTACCCCACCCCCACCCATAACTTCCCTACCCCGACCCCTACGAGTAGGTATGAGTGGGTATGAAGGGTTGTGGGGGAGTATGGGTAGAGTGTAAGATCGTGGTAAGGGTAGGAGTCAAGGGTGTGGAATTGGAGAACTGAGTGAAAAAATTGATGAACATGTTTTCAGATTTGAAAATGGAAAACTAAAAAATAGAAACAGAAAATTGGAGATAGAAAAACTGAAAAATAAAAATAGAAAATTGGAGAACGAAAAATAGAAGTAGAAAACAGGAAAATATCTCTGTTAGTAAACAGGCCCTCATTTTTTCCTAAATAGGAATATACTCCTATATCTTTAGCCGTTTCTTAATTTTACACACTTCCCACTTCTCAAATAAGTGCAACATTTTAAATTTTATACTAGCATGTAGGGATGGATTGGGATAGGTCGGCCCGACCGGGCTCGGCCCGATCAGCAGGGACCAGGATTGGAGTCCCGAACCAGGGGTAATTGGGGCGGGCTATGGGCTAAGGAAAATGTGGACTGGCCCGGCCGGGTTCGGTTCGAGCCCAATTATTTTTTTCTTTAATTTTTTTTTTCATTTATTGGCTGCTAGGTGGGTAGGGCTAGGTGGTTTGGGGGGGGGGGGTAGGAATAAATTTGAAAAGACAAAAAAAAAAAAAATTGTGCCCGACCAGGCTCGGTCCCGGTACAAACCCGGGCCGATATCAGCCTTGCAACCCAAAATCTTAGTTCCATCCAATCTCATCTCGGGCCCGTACCTAGTCCATCCCTATTCGCATGTTATATTTTTACTACACTTCACTTTATTTATTTATATTAATGTTTTAATAATGTTTTTTTAAAAAAAATAATTTTAAATTAGTCTCATTGTAAATTTTCAAAATTTGATTTTTTTAATTATTTTACTAACCGAAAGTAATACTCCGTACGAAGTATTTATTAATGGCCAAATAGTGTACATCGGTAGATGTGAAAAGTAAATTGTTGCACTTATTTAAAAATAGAGGAAGTACACAATATTAATATCATATGAAGGATCATAAAAATTTAAAAAATTCATACTAGTATTTTTTTAAAAAAAATGGATCATACGTAAAAAAGTTATTTCCTCCGTTCTTAAATGAAGTTCTCACTTTTTTTCAGCCCGTCCCTTAACAATGCATTATTTTGTTGTTTGTAAAACAAAATGGTGCAAAATAGTGTTAAACTTGTGGGCAAGTGAAAAGGGGTGGATTAAATAGAAAAATGCTAAAGGTACCCCAATTGGTACCCCAATTTGTACCCTCACCTTATTTTTGTGGCTCACAAAAGCATCTCATTAAAGTGGGGCAATTCATTTATTGATGTGGGCTTTTGTGAGCCACAAAAATAGGTTGGGGTACATATAGCAAGGTTGTCTCAGAATAGACTACATTCACTTTAAATCAATTCCATTTTTACAAAATGGGATCAAATCGGTCTATTCCAGTTGGGTTGCTTGGTACCCTATCAGATATTTTTCATAATCATGTATTCAATCGGCTAGGAAACAGTTCAAAGTTGTTTCCAACCACAACTGTATAGAAATGAGTAGCATGGCGGTTTCTGACTTTCAGTTACTTTCTAGGAGATCGATCACTGATTGACTTGGAGTCGAAATGTCGAATAGAGTGTGGAACAGTGGAAGCGTGGAGCTCTACTGAGAGCTTGAACCCTTTTTTTTTTGCATTTAGAATATTTATCCTTTTCTCAGCTATCTTCTTTCAGCGCTGAGGAACCCTTTCATGGCATGATTGGCATCCACTTCTTCAGACACATTCACCACTTCCTCATCAAAATATTTTGAAAAACATCTTTTTTCAAAGATTGCTAAATAAAGAAAGATGTCTTGAAGAAGGGTAGCGTCCTACACAGACTGGCAGAATCTTGTGGTTATTACAGTACATGTAACCATCTGTGTGCAAGCACGAAAGAAAGGCATATGGACTTGGATACTCTACGCTGTCTGAACATTTAAAGTGCGCTTTGAATGCCAATATGGCGTTTTAACCCCCAACTATGAAACACATAGGGATCTTGCTACTGATCTTACTGATCTTGGGATGACTAGTCCCACTACACTCACGGCCCTGATGAAAAAACATAAGGCAGAAAAAAGCATCGTCGCCAATTGGGAAAGCAAAATACAAGACCAAAACTCATCTGTCATTCAACTAAAAATTGCAATTGGATATATACTCCGTACAATTTATGGATCAACATATACCAATGGTACATATGCACAAAAAAGAAATCTTGCACAGAGTTTCAGTTCTAAGATTTGGATGTTGATGTTAATAATGTCGTAGAGCTGGGGTGTCAATTCTACTTTGAATACATGATGCCACCGTTTTAAAGGAGGTACTGACCGTGCATGTAATTATTTGTACCTTCTTACTCAACTTGTAATCATGCAACAAATTTCAAGCAACGTGTATCGTTGTGTATAGTCCGACACCGGATTGAACAAAAACGCATCCCGCACTGCACACATGCATAGTGGGCAGAGAATCCACAAACCGTGCAGAAATGACGACGGCTACTTGAGCTTGGAGGTCCCACAGCTGCTCTCAAGTAGGTAGGCACATGGGGAGGCAACGACTCTAAGTTTGCCTATCGCAAAGAACAATCAAAATCCACAAACAAACACACAAACCTGAGCCACATTTGAAATTCCGTAATGATCAAGACAAAATCAATCATTGTGTCTACCTCGTTCAAGAGCTCAAGGAATGACTTTGGGGCCTTCTTATTCTCAAGAGCCTTGGCTTGGCGTGTTTTTCTTTTTGTGCCTCTGGACTGTTTCTTTTGATGTGCTGCAAGTTATGGAATAAAAGATAATTCAATACTAAGAGAATACTGCTAATCCAACTACTTTTTCAAGATTGAATGTCCTTTCATTTCTTTTAGTAAAAGAAATCAACGTTATTTTAATCTTCTTTAGAGATTTAAAAAAATGAAAGAAAGCAGAAAAGAAGAGTGAATGAACCTTGATCCTCCTCATCTAAGGAAGCTTCATCATCTTCATCAAGTTGCACTGGCTCCAGTACACCATTGTCACTCTCCAAAGCATCTAGGCGGGCCAATATTGCCTATACCCACACAGTCACACCATAACCAGACTAGCTCTGAATAAATTCAAGCTCAAACATTCTATTTCTATTAAAAGAACTAGTTTAGATTTTTTAATATCGGTCTTCAGTCTCAAACAATAATAGAAATAGATTTAAAATTTATTGCAGCAACATAAAGACACAATTCGGATTTTGCTGCTAACAAATGCTTTATGCTTACCTGTGTTCGGTTGTCACTGTTAGCAAGTGCTGCAGCCATTTTTGGAGCAATCTTACGAGACCTTGTCGACATTCGGCGTGCTGAACTCATTGTTTCCTCGTCCATCTCTAAGAGTCCCTATATGCAAAACGTAAAATTTCACTGTCAACTTTTTTTCATTTCAAGAAGACAGTTCAAATGAACTTATTCTGTTTAAAACTTCCGTTCCGTGAAGTTACAATCCCTATGAGCCAAATGTATTGGGATGAAGGAGACAAAGTTGCCTAGTTGACAGTAGCAAGAGTTTTGGGAGTCAAATTATGGCCAAACTGTGGGTGCGATTGCGGATTTAGTGAGAAAAATTGTGTGCAACTTCAAAATAGATGAGTAAAGTTTGACATTGTATGTTTGGTTTCATCATAAATGTGAGCCAATATAATTTAAACAAGGAAAGACACATACCAATAATTCATACTTCTAGCGATTCTACAATAACAATCTCTACTCAAGAAATTTATACAAATAATCCAAACAGGTAAATCTGTTTACAAACTGGACTAACAGTTCCTTTTAATATTAATTAATTAATCCCATCCTACCGCCACCTCCCCTCTTCACTATCTTCTCCCAAGTGAGAAGAACTGTTCTCCCCTTTCTTCTATATCTACAGTCTTCTTCTCTACACGGATTCACTTTTTCTCTAGCATCTTATCATACCTAAAAATATTCCTTTTTTTTGTTTCTTCAGCTACCACTAAAATTATGCCTATAACTTCTCTTCTTCAAAATAACCTTTTGCAATTCTAACGAGGCAAACAAATCTCAATAAAATCACTTACACCCTAGGACTAATTTGAAATCCATTAATTTTGAGAATAAGCTCAAAAGATTACTTACCTTATTATCCAAAAATTCCCAGAGAATTATTTCTAGCGGGCAATTTCGCGGCTGTGGGAGAGGAGGAAGAGGGTCGGCTGGTTCTATGGGGCGGAGGTGGAGGCGGTGGATATGGAGATAAGGCGGCAGAAATGGAGGTAAGGGCGGTGGAAGTAGATATCATATGGTCGCAGGATTGGCGGTGGAGGGGCCTCACCTAAGCAGAGTAGTCGAGAAGAATAAAAAAGAACTAGCAGAAGGGAAAAGAGAAAAATTAAAACAAATAGAAAATGGAAAGAAAGGGCAAATCATACGGTAAAAGGAATCGAAAATATACTCCGTACTTCGTGTGAATTACTAGAAGGAAAAAGAGAAAAGTTAAAACAAATAGAAAATGGAAAGAAATGGCAAATCAAAAGAAAATGTTTTCTTTTGGACTTTTTTCAGTCCCAGGCTAGACCGGATTAGACTTTCTTAATTACGGAGTATAAAATACACAAAGACCAGACGTTTACCAGACCATACCGGACCAAACCAGACTATACCAGCAAATTTCAATCCAAAAGAAAACATCCTTAGTTTAACACAAATATATTCATTTGTTAGTATTTTCTCCGTAACTTAAAAATCTTTTCATTTCAAAAGTAGGTAGATTAAGAATAGTGAAAGATGATATGAATTATTGAATGTATGATGGGAAGAGAGTGATATAATGTGATAGAATGAAGAATAAATAAATAAAAATAGTTGTAATAGTGTGTTATTTTCAAAACTATTGAGGGAATGATGAGAAGTTTTAAAAATGAGAAGATTTTTTCGTTACGGAAGAAAAAGGAAAGTGGGTAGATCTTTTTTTGTTACGGAGGGAGTATTGACTTTGGTTCTTACTGGTAGTGTCGAGCTCGGAACTGCGGAGTGTGCGGCCTACGGTTGAATGGTTGACAGTCAACGGACATGCTGTCCTAGAGGCGGAACGCCTAAGGATGGCAATGGGGACGGGGCCCCGCGGAGAACCGCCTCATGGGAGGGAGTTGGGGCGGGTGGCGGGGCGGGTATGGGGATGGGGGGAATTATTTCCACACCGCATGGGGCGGGTGATGGGTTATGCACCCCCGTCCTGTCCACGCCCCGTCCCCCTCGTCCCCATATATATACACATATTAATAATTAATGATAATCACAATAATAATACGGAGTGATACGGAGTAATACGAAGGAATTAAAATAGCTTGGTGGTCTGGTGGATTTAGTGGTTTCCTATCTAATAGGTTGTGCCTAATGGGTCTATCTAATTCTTGTTTAATAACTCAACTATCTTGTAAAATTGGTTATCAAAATCATATAGCAATTAAAATGAATGTAGGAAAGTTGTAAAGTGATATTAGCTTTAAACGCCTCAGGCACAGTGTGAATGTATTCTTCTTTTACTATTACAATGCATTAATTCTTTTCCTACGAATGCTATCTTTATGATTGTAGTCAGGGCTTTTAAAAATCCGGTGACCATGGGTCATCCTAGATGATGTCAAATGACCACATTTGATTGAATGTAGGTTTAAGAAAATATTATAGAGCTAATGAAGTGTTTGATAAAATGACTCAATCAAAACGCATATAATGTGTTCTAGATTTGAAATGGGATATAAGATTACATTGACACTTAAAAAAGGTTTTTTTGCTACTAAAAGTGTTGTTTAATTTTTAAAAAACTCTTGGTGTCTAAAATGGTGTTAGTTTTTGACGAATATTTCCCCCATTGGGTTCCCGTGGGTCTAGCGGGTCGGGGCGGGGATGGTGGGAGTCAACCCTCGCCCCATCCCCGCCCCATTGTCATCCCTAGGAGCGCCGTAGCGTGGCAGCGTCGTGGCGGGCTGGCGCGGGTGGCTGGCATATTAGAACTACTACTAGTTGTTGGGGGCTTCCAAAGTAATGGACTCCATGAGGCTGCACAGGCAGCCCCACTAGGCCGGCCCCGAAATAAAATGATCGGAGAAATTGACGGAGAAGGATTGATGGCCGCATGAGAGAAGGTTTGAGGTTACGAGGACGGGTGAAAGCGTAATTCAATTGTTATCATAAAAAGTAAAAGCTAGATGAATATATTAAAAGAGTTTTTGCTATTGCTTAAAATAAGCACTTCTTTGCTTTTAACTTAAAATAAACTGAAAAAGGTGTTTGCTAATGCCTACTTTTACTTTAAAAAAACAATTTAAAGCTAAAGCTGGAAGCTGGTAGAGAGGTACTTTTGGGGAAAATGTTTAATAGTAAAAGTTGATAGTGTTTGAAAAAAATGATTATGAAAAAGTAAAAGTTGGTAGTGTTTGAATAAGTGCTCTTTGTGCAATAGAAAAAGTGAAAAGTTGTTTAAATCACCTCTCAACCTGCTTTGAAGTGATTAATTTAGGTAGAAACTGTCATTTGAAAAGCACTTATTTTAATCTTTAAGTGATTAATTTAAATAGAAGCTATCATTTGAAAACACTCACTTTAGCTTTTTTTAAGCCAAAAGCTGAAAAACACTTATTTTAAGGGAGAATTTCACTTTGCACCCCATGTTTTGAGTAATATATTTGACTTTGCATCATATTTTTAAAATCATTAATGTATGCTAAAATGAGTGTTCAAACTCAAATGATATTATCATCAACCCAAAAATTGTGAAGGAATGAAGTGCAAAATCAAATGATTTTATAGTGAATTGGGGTGCATACATTAATGATTTTTAAAATAGGCTGCAAACTCAAATATCACCTAAAACATAGGGTGCAAAGTCAAAATCTCCCTTATTTTAATCTTTAGCAAACACTCCCTTAAACTGCTTTTCACTTTTTCTATACACAAAAAACACTTATTTTATCAAACATTACCAACTTTTACTATTAAACACTTTTTCCAAAATTACTTTAAAAAAATCACACACACTCTCAGTATGTCCAAACTCCAAACCAACTTTAGGGTCAAAGGGTGAATTTCCACTGCGGAAATGATTCGAAAAGTCCTACCGTTTTGTAAATGTGACTTGGGCAACTAAATCACGAAAGGTTTGATCTTCCCATAAGCTTAATTGAGATTTGAAAGACGAACACATGATCACTTGCGCATCATGGAGAAACTGAGAAACCTGACTTAATTTACATCAAGACAATGATCAAGAAAGCCCTCAATAAATAAATAAACAAAGCAATTGAAGCGCCATACATTATTTATAATTCATGAACAGATGCTAACACATACACCAAGACATGAGGACTATGATCTATTACTCTCACAGGGGCCCTCACAATTCATCATGCTTGTTTGCATTTGGCGATGGAACCTTCGGGTTGTGGTCAAGAAGGTACCTTACTGCCAATGACGCTTGGAGGGCGGCACCATAAGGGAGGGCATCTTCATTGACCTTAAAATACGGCGAGTGTGGTGATGGAAGTTTATCGCCATTTTCGTCCTGCATACCGAGCAAGTAAATATAACCCGGCATCACTTCCTGATAGAATGAAAAGTCTTCGCTAGCCATCATGAGTGCAGCTTCCTTGATATGAGAGCTCCCAAGCATATCAGAAGCAACTTTGTGGAAGTAGTGATGCAACCCCTTGTCATTAATGGTGGGAGGGATAAATGGTTTCGTGTCTTCGTCGAAGGTCACAGTCGCGTTGCACCTATGAACTGCAGCTTGTTGTACGATTACCTGTTGGACACAATTCCCAAACTGAGATAACATTGTCTTTTTCTAATTCACAGTAGTTATAGTTTTTAGTCACAGCCTCACAGGTTGAAGTATAACCTCCTCAATGCGTGTTCTCAGATGTGCGAATCCTTCCCTTGAGAATCCCCGGAAGGTTCCACCAACAGTAACAGAATCGGGAATCACATTAAATGCGCCACCTCCTTGAAAATTACCAACCGTCACTACCTACAAATGTGTCCTAGAGTGTTAGGTGTTAAGTCATCGTATATTCAAATAATTTGAAAATCCAAACCAACAATAGAAGTTTTTGAACTACTTCTCATATTGATTTGTTCATTAAGCCAGTGCTCTGTGATCCAACAGTCCATTTTGTAAAATTTAAAAGCAGCATTGTAGGTTTTAAGCTACACGCTAAAAACAACTTATAAACCGCCACAGTAAAAAATCGTTTTCAAACAACAAAGCCCGGCCAGCTTTGACAACATTACTGGTTATTTGATTTTAAAAAGAAGCAATCTTTACCTCAATATATTTTTATTCACATTTCATCACATTGTAACGGTAATACCAAACTCACTATATTTCAGCAGAAGTTGGGACTAAAAATCATAAGGTGAAGCATGGCTATCAAGAGATAGGAAAGCAGAAATGGATTAATTGGGGAGTGGTAGCAGCCTATACGGTGTTGTTGCCTCTTATGTTGCAGCCTATATGTAACCATTGGTCCTTATTTTAGTCTTGGGTTAACACATTGCACAGTAAATGCTGAAAGCAGCATTTGTTTCCACCATTCCGAACCGTTACAAATGTTTAGGGTAGCAAATGGATGCATTGGATATTTAATATTTTTTATTTGTAGTATTAAAAAGGGGAAGCCCGGTGCACGAAGACGTGACTGCAAGGCGAGGGGGTCCGGAGAAGGGTCCCACTACAAGGAGCGACCTTCCCTGATCAAATTTTGACAAGAGGCTGCTCCCAAGACTTGAACCCGTGACCTCTCGGTCACACAACAACACCTTAACCGGAACATCAAGGCTTCCCTTCCTTTTTTATTCGAAGTATAATGGATCAAAAAGCAATTCATATTACCTGAGGGTCTAAAGGATCAGCTTCTCGGGAGACAAGATGCTGTAAGCTGACAATGACATTTGAAGCAGCGAGAATTGGGTCAATTGCATGCTGAGGAATAGCACCGTGACCGCCTTTCCCGGTTATCACTGCCTCAAAGAAACCACTTCCGGCACCTATGGGCCCCGCTCTGGCTGCCACATCGCCTAGAGCATAGCTAGGAAATACATGCACACCAAAGATGGCCTCAACCTTGTCTAGCGCACCAGCATCTAGCATCCTCTTAGCTCCAATTCCACCTTCCTCTGCTGGTTGGAAAACCAGAACAACCGTTCCCTGTAAAAAATATTGCACTAACAATTTGTTAGATCTCAATCAGAGAAACCTGGTTGGTAGGCGTTGTTTGGCTGAAATGAAATTGTTGAGTGGCTGAACTTTCTTGGGAAAAGCATTTGGTAACATCCACTTCGGCCATATAAGGCCATGCTTGGTAGCATTGGTACCCTATAAGCAAAATAACTAATTTTAGTTTTGCCAAATTTTTCTCCTTCAGAATATTTAGCAGATTCAGTTGTTTAAGCAGCAACAACAAAATCCCTACCAAATGGGATATAAGAGTACTTATTGTTTATTTTGTGGTAAAAACTAAGGGAAAGGTTAGGGATAGGGTAATTCTAAAGATAAATTGGTCAAAACAAGAACCAATGAATGTGCTTAACAAATTGAATCAACAAAAACACATGAAGGCTGATTGAGGATAAACACCATGTGAGTTAAATGGAAACCATTGAAATAGCTTGCAATGCTCTTCCCCCTGAATGATATCAGATAAACCCACCTACAGAATATTTTGAATGAAGCACACATTATAACAGATATCATCAGTGATATAGTATCTAACCTCAAGCATGTGTTTATATTTTTGAAGAATCTTGGCAGCACCAAGAAGCATTGCAACATGTGAATCATGTCCACAACCATGCATCTTTCCATCAACTTTACTCTTGTGCTCCCACTCCAACAATTCCTATGAAAAATGTAAAACCCTATGAATCTTAACAACTCAAATGGCTACAATTAGCTAGCCAATACAATCCAAAAGTGGGACACTTGATTAAAAAAAATCATCTTAGATCATACAAATCTAGTCTTCAAAAAAATTAGTTAAATCAACAAAAAACAAATAAGACAAGCAAATCCATTATCTATAGCAATTCTTGTTTAGCAAAGTCAAAAGATTATATTCTGAACAAACAGAATTCTTTATTGGACTAGGGTAGTAACTACTCATCCTGTTATAATGTCATCCAATTGTACATTATGGTGCCAAACATCAGGGATGACACTGTTTTGGTTTAGCTAAAAAAGATTTTGCATCCATCTGCTACTGACCATGAAAATTCAAATCTGGGATTAGCTGTAAAAAACTTGTGCATGATCTTCACTACCCCAGTGCCGCAAAGGCTCCCACCTACGACGCTAGGGTAAGAGAGGTCAGATGTACGCAGTCATACCCCTATACTAAAGCTCAGAGAGACTGTTTCCGGATGACCTATAGTGAAAATTGCGTCCAAAATGCATGAACTGACTGCTGCTTTATAAAAGAGAAGCGCAAACATTTTAGTGAGTCATTTTGCTTTAGTCCATCATATTCTCAAGCCAAAAAAAGGGAGTGTTTGGCTCCGTCCCAAAAAGAAAATCTTCCAAATTTTCTTTTTTAATCATCCCAAAAAGCTTTGTCATTTCCATTTAAAGTAATGAATATGTAATTAAAGTAATTTCCCTACACAAATCTCAACTACCCAAATTTTAAGGAGTATTAACTATTAAGTGCAAGTCAAACGTGGCCAAAGCTTTTAGGGAGGTACGGAGTATAAAACTTCTCAGTTCTCACATTGAAAAGACCTTAAAAGAAATGCTTTTTAACAAACCTTTTAACACTAACTACTCCCATGTTATGTCAGGTGTACTGTCTGGCAGACTGGCACCATGGTGTACTAGGAACGAGAATGTACAGAATATTTTAAGAGCAGTAAAATAACAATACTTCGCAGTACAATCTTAAAACTCACAAATCAGTAAACCACACAAGTTCAAACTTCAAAGTAATTTTTTTAAAAGAAAAGAAATAAAGGAAAAGCAGTAGCAGCACACCTGCATAGAAAGAGCATCCATGTCTGCTCTTAAAGCCACAAATGGAGGGTTCCCAGAACCAACATACCCAACCACACCAGTGACAGCAAATGGGTGCTTGTAGGGAACCCCCAACTCATCCAGCTTCTCCCTTATCAGCTTACTCGTCTCAAATTCCTCATTCCCCAACTCTGGATTCCCGTGTATCTTTCTCCTTATCCCCACCATCCAATCAAAAACCTCAGATTCCTTGGCCAATTCCAAGAAATTCTTGGGGATCTCCTCTGGCCTCCATTCTAAGCCTGCTGGTGAAATGGGTTTGGCGGAAAACAGGAAATGAACCAAAAACAATAACCATAATCTGGAGGAACCCATGATTTCTGGGTCCAGAGTAAAAAGCAAGATCAAGATTCAGCTGGAGAAAAGGGCGTGTTTTTAATATTTATAATAATAAGTAGCCTTTAAGGTCATGGACTCATTATTTTGCGAACGAGGAAAACGTGGGTTTTTTACTTTTACCCGCAGTGAATTGTATTTGGACTCACCCGATATTACTCACTCTAGCTGTTCTTGACTGATCCGACATTAAGATCTAAACTTTCCGTCACGTGCGTTTTGAGTGTTGCTATGATATGAAGACTGTTACAACAAAAATGGCGAGTTTTGTGGCAGGTTTGATTTGACACGTCCCCCCTCGTGCTTTAATTTCATTCCCCGGCGTTAGGTACCATAGTAGTCCTAATTTGGCGCAAATTATATCGTGCAACCGGCGCACCACGAGGATTGATGAGGCCTGGTTTCTTTATTTTTATCCTTTTATTTTTAAAAATGGTAATAACTTTTTTATTTTTGATCCGATTTTTATAAAATTTATATCAACATTTTTTTTTCATGATCTTTCAAATGAGACCAATATTGCTTATGTAATTTTAAGAAATTATCAAACTATTATATTAATGTGTATTGGATTATAAGGAAACCAAACTAAATTTAATACAGAAAAATAATTGTGTAAATTACAATTTAACTTAAAGTTGTGTATATAAAAAATTTACTATATTAGATATTTATACATGTGAGTTACATATTTTTATATGTGAAGTTACATATTTTTACACGTAAAGTTACATATTTCTACACGCAAGTTACATATATATACACACGAGTTGTATTTGACTTGCCTGAACGCGAGTTACATATATTTACACGTAAAGTTACATATTTTACACGTAAAGTTACATATTTATACACACGAGTTACATATTTATACACACGAGATGCATTTGACCTGTCTGAACGCGAGTTACATATTTTTTAAGTAAAATTACATATTTTTACACGTAGAGTTACATATTTATACACACGAGTTGCATTTGACCTGACTGAACGTGAGTTACATATTTTAACACGTAAAGTTACATATTTTTACACGCAAATGTTAATATGTTAAAATTACATAGGCAATATTGGTCTCATTTGAAAGATCATGAAAAATAAAAATTTTTGATATAAATTTTATAAAAATCGGATCAAAAATAAAAAAAAATTATTAACATTTAAAAAAAAGGAGAAATAAAAAATAACAAAGCCAAAATATACGAACTCCTTCTTCACTCTCCCAGGTATACCATGCGCACCATGGGACGGTTGCATGGTATACGAAATGCTAATTTGGTGTGGCAGAATTGCTCACTTTCCTCGCACTCAATGTGATTTTATTCGGAGAATTTATCCTAAATAGGACTAAAAACATTTATAAATTCTAAAATGGGACTGTCATGTTTTTAATTCTCAAAATGAGACTAATTACTGTCATGTTTTGGAAGTACCGGACTTTAAACATGACAGTATTTTCCAAACTTGACAGTAATTACTCCTATTTTGGGAATAAAAACATGACAGTCCTATTTTGGAATTTACAAACGTTTTTTGTCCCATTTGAGGAATTTTCCCTTTTATTCGGAGTATATAGAAAAGCAAAAGAGATTGGCGTACACCTTTTTTCCCTAATTCGCACACTTTATCTCTCCTCACAAATATAATCGTTTGTATAGAAATACAAAGAAATACGTAGTATATAAATTGTTTATATATAGACAAATTCTATATATAAACAATGTGTGTGAACTATATACAAGAAAAGCAAAAAGAATGATTGACATACATTTTTTTTGTTCACCATTCACACAAACATAATTGTCCGTATAAAATACGGATAAAGAAATACAAAAGTTGTTTCCATATAGACAATTTTATTTAGAAAGATGCATGGTGTACATATTTTAGTTTTAGTGTATACCTTCCGTACACTCGTTTGTCTCACGCACACAGAATTATTTGTCCACAGACAATTCTGTAAAGTTGTCTGTGGGCAGACAATGTTGTAAGCGTGAGACAGACGAGTGTACGAAATATTTACACCAAAATGCGTACATCTAGCACAATTCTTTTGTTTATATAAATAGACAGCGACGAATGATATACAAAAATGTACATCAAACTTTTTTGGAAAAGGAAAAGAGAAAGTTGTGAAAAGCGAATGAATTGGTGGGAATTATTTTACACTCCGTACATTATGATGATAAGGGATTCACATGGAATCCGTTTCTTCCACACAAATATTGTCACTTAAAGGGGTATGAGTGTGATTGGGGGTTTACCTACCCAGCCTTAATTTGGAACGAGAAATTGACTAAATTAAGGGTATTAATCATTGATGTTCAAAAAATGAAATTGTTTCGTATATAATGAACATTCCTGATAAAGTTGTCCGGATTATCAAATTAGATTAGGATGAAAGAAGCCACAATTTATAGAATTTACAAAATGATGAGACACATTATCATTAGCTCGAAAATATCATACGGACTACTCTCTAGTAGTCTAGTTAAGATTTTTTTCTAGTTCACTACTCCCTCCGTCCCACTAACAATGGGACCAGAGATAGACATCAAATTAATAAAAAATGGTGTATGTGACTGATATTGAATTGATAAAGTATGAATAAAGCAAGAATTATTTAGAATCACACAAACTTTATCAAATTTGGTATGTGACAATCTTAGTGAGACGGACCGAAAAGGTAAAATGGGACAGTCTTAGCGGGACGCGGGTAGTAGTTTTTATAATCGAAACATTGAATATTTAACTATAAAATAAAACATTCATTACTTTTGAGTACTCCCCTCAGTTGATATAAAAGATCATTGTGAGAGAATCATAATTAAGAGAAAAGAGTAATATTCAATCGGTTAAATCTGTTAAAATTTATAAAATTCTAGTTGAAACAATTGGGTTAGATAATTTGTTAAATTATGAAAACAACTATATTTAAAATGTATTTTATGAATATAAAAAATGAAAAAATTTAACTTTGCATTCCATTTTTGGGTGATATTTGGTCTTGCACTCTATTTTCAAAATCATTATTGTATGTACCCCAATTCACTGTAAAATCGTTTAAATTTGCACGCCACTCATTCACAATTTTTGGATTGATGGGGTACATACATGAATCAATTTAAAAATGGGGTGCAATATCAAATTCTTCAAATAAATTTATATATTAAGTTATATACTAGTATATAAGTGTGTGTGTATGAAAATAATTAAAATAATCTTATGCAGTTACTTCATTCAATTTAGCAAGAAAAGTAATTTCAATCTTACTTATTTTGATTATCATACAATTCGGTGTGTGAAATCATAAATAAAACGGATGATAAACTAAATATATATATACGAGTTATCAAACAGACTCTTAATAATTTATTGTAATGTACTACCTCTTTAAAAGTCTTGTTAGAAAAAAATAGTGATAACCTTAGCAAAAGGTAAAAAAGTAAGAAAAAATTCATTAATACTTGTATTACTCTTTAAATTGTGGTGCACAACAATATTACTTAGTACTATTACTAAATGTAACCGTGTTTAAATATCCATCGTAGTAAGTTATTGCGATGTAAACTTTCAACACAATTACTCTTGTAATATTTAAGCAAGTTAGAAGGATGTCTTGGAATTTCATTTTGCTAAACTTCCTTTCTTTCTCAAGCTTGGTCGTTGGGCCCACTTATCATGCTGGTATGGTGAGACAATGAACTCGGGCTTACGTCTGAAAGTCCATATCGTGGGCCCGAAATTGCAAGTCCAAATCCATTTCTGGGTCAATTAGGCTATGGGCCTAATGCTATAATCTTATCGCGAGTACTCCACTCCTTTAGCCAAGTAGTAGACTCACTGAGCCCGCACAATATAGATAAGGCTTTTAAAGGCGAGGTGGGAATAGAGCTTAGGGTGGATTGCTTGCGATAAAACTGGAAAGTTCATCAAAGGAGGCTAGAATCATGTAGCGCAAGTTAGTGATGGAGTGGAACGGGGCGACTCAACCCACGCTCGGTACTATTTAGACCCGGCCCAGAACTGGTTTACCGGGACAGGTACAGACCCAGTACCCAAACCGGCGGATTTATGGGACATGACTCAGACTTGCATTTTGGTGGACCAGCCCGTTCGGCCCAGGCCCAATCAAGCGTAACGGTTACAAAGTCAAACAAATCCTTTAATCACACAGGCTCGACCCGATCCGGGTCCAAACCAAGGCCCGGCCGGGTAGGGGTGGACTGCGAAGGGTCGGCCTGACCCGGAACCCGACATTGTGCAGGCCCGACCTGACCCGGTGAGTAGGGACCGGGACTGGGGCCCGAATCGAGTATTCAAAGGACGGGCTATGGGATCAAAAAAGGTGGACCGGCTCGGTCGGGTTTGGGCCCTAACGGCCACATTTTTTAAAAAAAAATGGATTGAATTGGTTTGGGCCATATGCTGGCTCCTACCTTTTACCAAAGGCTATAGGTCTGTTGCAGGGGGTTGGGGTGGGGGTAAAAAAATCTATAAATAAGCCTATTTTCTAAACATTTTCCTACACTCATTCTCCAATTCTTCCTACTCTCTAATCGTCTTTGTTAAAGTTTAGTCCTGCAGATCCGAAAGCCCAACACACGCTTTGGATATTAAGGACATTGATCTTGGTTCAAAAGGGTATCAAATATAAAAGATTGAATAATGTGAACTTAGAAGCCAATCTTGTACTAAGTAATTCTCTGATCACACTCAAATTGCCCGAACGATACATCGGGATGTTGACTAATACAAGAATTAGAGATATGATCTTATCTAAGCTCTGAGTATCAAAATGCTAACCCTTTACAATGTAGTTAATGCCTCTATTTATACTAGAGAGGGGGTAGGTGGGATGATGACGTGACCAGATCTGGTTGGCTGCTACCTTTGCCACTTGTGCACCCATGCCTCCACTTGCTGCCACCATACTCTAGCATTAAATGCAGCTTGCCCCTTGTGAACTTCTCGGTCGGGGGGGGGGGGGGGGGGGGGGGTCTGAAGCCCATAGATGAACATGGTTGATGCCATTGCTTTTTATTCCAAGTTGGATAATTGGGCCGTTCGGGGTATGCCGAACGACATCTTCCTCGATGGATAGGATCCCGTTCGGGATCTCATAACTCTTGTACTGTGTCCCCTTTGGGTTTGTCCTTTTGCTTGGGCCCTTAGCTATTTTGGGCCGGATATTGGGCTTCGGCCCAATATCCCAACACAAGTCCCCCACTTTTGATATCATGATGAACGGTAGAAAAGGCATAAAGAAGTAGAGAAATTTGTTAACAGTTCCGTTCGAGAAATATCGAACGAGATTTCGC